AGAAATTATTTTCTCCCGATGGGAGAAAATATTTTTCTAGCAAGTATTTTCTTTCCACCAATCTTACCAAATGCGGAAAAATAAAAGTAATTTTTTTTTTGGAAAATCCTCCCCCCAATATAATTAGAAAGCTCACTAACTATAGGTTGAAAATTCACCACACTTAACTAGAAAGCATATGAATTACTTTTTAAGTGTATGTGATCCATATTATTTGTTGGGAAAAATTCTGAACAAGCTCATGGATGACCATATAAATATGATCTAATAACGGTTTTGGAGAATGCGAAATGAAAATATAATTTATCATATAAGACAAGCGTTTTAACGTGCATACATCAAAAAATGTTAACATAATAAGAACTTAATGTTTAAAGTAGACAAATTGAATAGAAATTAAGTGAATGAATTTTCTAAAAAATGAGATGTATTCCTCAATTGGATATTCAACTCGTTAAGTTCTCTCTTTAAAGCTAAAAAATTTTGTCACCATTAAGTACTTTTTACAAATGAATGACTTTTGTTTCAGTGTGAGGAAAAAAGAGAGGAAAGAAAAGTAATAGAGAGTGTTGGAATATAAATAAATATTTCCTGAGCCACCCCCATAAGCTTGAGTTTTTTGTTGAATTGGTTCCTTGACATGGTACTGAAGCCTTGTTAACTAATAGATCACAAGTTCAAAACTCAACGCCAACCAGTTTTAAAAAGTTTAAGATTTCACGTGCAAGGTTATAAAAAGATTACGCCTACACATGAGGGAGCATGTTAGAATATAAATAACTTTTCCTGTGCCACAATCATAAGCTTGACGTTTGGTTGAATTGATTCCTTGACAGAGAGTACAAAGATTTTGACCATAGGGAAGAAAAAGGGATGAGAAATTTAAAAAATGATAGGGCTCACACCAAAACTTTTCTCTCCACAAATGGAAATTAAATGTGACGAAGAAGAAGGAACCAATTATAGAGCTTCATCCTTTTTTTCCCAGTTAAGGGTGCCTTGTACTCATTACAGGCCAAAACAGTTTTCAACATTATCATACACTGAATCAAGAATTGGTCGAAAGACATCAAGTGTTGGTCTGGATCTACAATCTTGTTGACACAGCAGTCCACAACAAGTTGCAGGACGCATTTATCTCCGAATGAATAAGGATGCCGCTGTTGCACTGCAACTAAGATTTTCATCAACTTAGTGCATGCTTGTTTTACAAAGTTCCAGAATTTGGGATGTTGCTCTTGGAGAGAGGAATCTGCTGATCAAGTTTTTTGTCAACCCCAATAAAATTTCAAATTACAAAGAGAAACAGAAGTTATAGGAAGTAACTTTGAAAAAGACGCATATAAAATAAGATTTTCCAGATATATATATATATATGCCTGAAAAATCACCCGAGGGTGTGGCAGGGCTCATGGAAGCTTTGCCTTATTTATAAATAAAAGAAAGACGATACAAAGGGAGGGGGCGGGCTCAACCCCAACACATGCCCGACTAAAACCAAAAGATAACTGCAATCCTCCTCAAATCTAAAACCAAACAGGACCTACCTCAAATCAACATAAGAAGTTCGCCAACAAAAAATCAAATAAAAAGAAAACAAGGAATAACAAGATCAGATCTTTTTTTTTCCGCTATTGTTTTTGTTAAACTTCTTCCTTTTCTTCTTTCCTTTCACACCTCCTTTGGGATTGAAATCATCCAACAAATGAATAGCATCAAGCTCCATTTCAGCCTCTAGAGTGTAAGAGTCTTCATCATCAACAGACAACTCAATTTGTCATGTGCCATTTCAGAAACCTCAACTCCCCCGTCCTTTTGCCTCTTATGATCTTCTCCATTCATCCCAAAAGGCATATCAATGAGGCTGATTTGCGGGGAGCGTTCATAAATTAGTTTCAAGTCTAAAAGGCCCAAGGGTTTGGTGGTAACCGCCTTTGTTTGAACTGCCTCCTTATGGAATCCCAATGCTTTCAATTCCTTAAGGTAGTGTTTGGATAGTGGAATTCATTTCAATTTTTGAATTTCAATTCTATAATTTGAAATTCCATAATTCAAATTCCATTTTGGTGTTTGGCAAACACAAGAAATTCAAAATTCATAATTTCAAATCCAAATGCTGTTTGGGAAATTCATAATTTCAATTCTAGAATTCAAATTCTGATGTTGTTTGGCAAGTACTAGAATTTCATTTCAAATCTTTAATGAATAAAATATTGTAAACATAATCTCAAATAACATAATGACCAATTGTTTCATAAACAAAATACATACTAATGTATGACAATTAGAAAAAGTATTAATTTGTAGTAAATATTTAATATTGCGTAGTTGTTCATAACTCGATCACTCTTCCAAACATAACAAAATCCAATCTAGCTTCTCGTCTTCAGGCAAGTCCTTGAGCATTTGAAACTTTCATAAACTTCTTAACAGCTTTCAACACTTGATAACAAAGTATGCCATCCACTTTTGAAACAATGTCATGGATTTCTTTCCCGCTTGCCTAATGCTCTATCTAATCCAAAGAGAATACAAATATCATCCCAATTATCTATAGTCTTATTTCTATAGGAGCTTGCTGGTGGATGACTCTGCATGAAAAAAAAGTGTTAGGAAACCCTTTTTGGGCCACAAAGACAAGGGGCAATGTGTTGCACATGCCATTGGGCAAATAGCCACACTCCATTGCACTAGTTGCAGAGATATGCAAGTTCAATATATAAATATCTTGGGTTTAAATTATAAAAAAAAGAGGATAAAGAATGGAAATCCCTTTGAAAAGGCCAACGCATCATATTTATCTTGTGTTGGAGTGTAATCATATACCCATTGTGCTAAAACCCAAAAAAGGAAACACAGAGGACATAATGCCATATTATAAGGAGTATAAGTTTTGGCTACTCTGTAAAAGCACAGAACTGTATATACTCCGTACAACATAATGGGTAGTAACAAAGCAACCCAGACTTGCCACAAAGTAAATACCCCGAGTAAACCCCAAATCTGATCACAAGGTATGGTTTTCATATGGGTTAGCTAAAACAAAAAAATACATGCACTGTAATAAAAACACTTTCTTTTTATCAAGTAGAAAAAAAATACATGCACTGTAAACACTAATTCTGATTAAAGAACAAAATTTAAAAAAGTAATCCTCCAAGACCTTGTTGTCATTCTCCCTAAATGATAAGATCAAAGAACAACACATAATGCCTAGCCTATGTTCATATGCTACAAAGATCAAAAACCAAAACAAACTTCTAACATCCTATTACACAGTGGCGTAGTAAAGAAATAGCATGCTGCCATGTACCTAAATAATCTCAAACTTCACACATGCTTTGACAGACTCAAATATTACACAGTAAGTCTCTACTTGGGTTTTTGTTCCAGAGGGTTGCAATAGGTAAGGTTTTAGATTTTTTCTTGCTAAGCTTAGATCAGAAAATGGTGAGGAATTGTTGGTTGAAGATACTAGATTTTTTCAATTATTGAATGAGATGGAAGCCCCACTACTCAGACCATTCCCTAACTCTTGTTTAATATGGACATTTGCTGTTACCTGAACCCTGCTAAGTCTGAAACTTCAGTGGCAAAAACAGCTCTGAGTGTGGGCATCACAAAGGCTGGTTTTAAAGCTTCATCTTCACAAAAGCCTAATGCTGATCTTTTTCAAAAACAAGCCAAGTCTCTCATTCCATTGAGAGAACTAATCCACAGATTACAAATAGGGATGAAGATATTCGTTCCACTTCATGCACTAGTTTCACTGATCAGGTTTATCACAGAAGTACAAGTAATATCCGACAGTCTGGACTACCTCCACTGCAACGGTTTGGTCTAAATCATGAAACCAGATTCAAAACCATCGGAAAAATCTGATTTTGTGAATCGAAAAAAAATCAAACACAAATCGATGCAC